CGATGCGCTGGCAATTGGCAAAATTTCCGGATGCGAGTGTGCAACAACTTTCACTTTGAATTTTGGATAACTGCTGTTGTGAACTATTGTAAATTGCTATGCTTTTATTTGATCTAATAAACTACACAGTACTGACAGAAACAGGAATTTTATTTGAGTTTAAAAGAGTTGTTGGGAATAAACGCCAAATTCTTGTCAATACCACAGCAAAAACATCGTCATTGTGTGTAAAATTAAATTCCGCACCTTCACTCCCACGTAAGGTTGTGGTACGTCATGGTATTTTGCAATAATTGCGAGTTATTATTGGCTCATGAACCGTAACTCGGCGTCCATTTTGTGGAGATGTACGTGAATCATCATCAGTTAATTCACGTTGCAATATTTCGCGAAATTTCACAAGTAGCAACAAAAAATAGGTTCGGAAGTTATTTATTCAGCGTTCCAACGTTTTTTTGTATAATATTGCACAATTTTGCAAGTGTCCAACTTGTTTCCTATTTTTTTTATATCAAAAGAGATAACAATCACTTCAAAACGTCAAAAACAATCATCTTTTAAACTTCAATCTTACATTTTATTTATAATCTAACGAATAACAACAAATTCTTACTTTTAAAGTTATCAATTATTACTGATTATCAGCGAAAATAATGTTTAATGTGTTAAACGTGTTGCCTATATCAACCAAATTGCTTTGAAAGTAAGTTGTTTGTTATAAATACCTTAAACCAAACAAAAAAAAAACACACATTTTTACACATTGTTTGTAAACTAAACGCAAACACAAAAAAAAACACTAAACAAAGGTCAACTAAACATGAAATACTTAGGTCCGGAAGTTATTTATTCAGCATTCCAACCTTTTTTGTATAATATTGCACAATTTTGCAAATGTTCAACTTCTTATCCTATTTTTTGCATCAAGATTGATAATAATCACTTCAAAACATCAAAAACATTGATTTTTTAAACTTCAATTCTTACATTTTACTTATTATCTAACGAATAACAACAAATATTAACTTTTAAAGTTATTAATAACTGATTTTCAGCAAAAACAATGTTTAATGTGTTACATGTGTTGCCTATATTATCCAAACTGTTTTGAAAACAATAACAAAAACACATTTTTACACATTGTTTGTAAACTAAACGCAAACACAAAGAAAAAACACTAAATATTATCACTAAACAAACACGAAAACATCCACAATAGTAAATTTAAGCTAAGATTAACTAAACATGAAATACTTTATGAGTGATCGTACGTTTTCGCATGAAATTTTTATGGATTTATAAAATTATAGTCTGGTCCCAATCCAGTGAGCAGTAAACTTTCTTCCCACAAGCGTTTTGCGTCCTCTTTGTTCCTCGCTCTGTAGGAAGGATTTGTTTTACTGCACTCTTGATAATATAATCCTGTTTCCTTAGCGCAGTCTTCACTTAAACTGCAGTAGATACTTGTCTGCGCGCCTTGCTGCGGTGACTTACACATGAACGTAGTAAATGTAAGAAACAAAAATGTCACTCCTTTGAAGAAAGTCTGGTCTAGATTACGTCCAAGTTCTGTTTTTATCACGCCAGGGTGTAGACTATAAGTGTGAACATGATTTATACCAGCTTCTGCAAAAAAAAGCTGATTTAGTGTTGGAAAACAACATGGCCGTCAAGATAAAAGCAGAAACTGATAAAATTCAAGATGATTGCTATTAAAATGTGTAATAATATAAATTCAAGGTTATTTTAAAGCAGATATTCTTTATATTAACTTGTTAGTCATTTTTTAATAGATTTTCCGTTAATTTTACGTGTTTTACCTTGTAAACGACGTGCCAGTTCCTTGGTGAACAAAACATTCGCTAGTTTGGATTGAGCATAAGCATTAATTGAATTGTACCGCCGTGTTTTCCAGTTTAAATCATCAAAATTCATTTTTCCACCTAAAACACACAAAAAAATCAATAACCTACGCCGCCATTTTGTTTTTACACCTACCAAATATACGCCAATGCGCCATTGATGAAACATTTACAATCCGCGCCGGTTGACTATTACTAGCAATAATCCTCGGCAACAATAACAGCGTAAACAAAAATGCCTGAAATGATTAGTGCCAATCTGCATCTCAAAGTTATCCTCGGTCGTATCTTTTGGACACATCATCACACCAGCATTATTCAGCAAAATATCGATTTTCTCTTCGTTGTCGCTGATTTTCTTCGCACATTCACGCACGGAGCGTAAACTTGTGAGGTCCAGTTTAACCACTTGGATGGAACCCACATTCGGCGCGTTTTTGCACTCGTCTTCCACTTCTGTCTGAGCGGAGGTGGCTTTTTCGAGATTTCGGCACGCCATGATTACCTTGGCACCTATCGCACAGAAAAGAAATCATAAATTTCAATAAGTACAAATATTTATTCGGTGCGTAAGAGTATTTATTCCGTTATGTAATAATCTAGAGTTTTTTCAAGTCTCTTGAGCAATGAACTTCGAGCGTCCACTTGGAATTCGGCAATGAGCAATCAAGAAAATTTACTAGGTCAAACAAATTAACATTTATACATGTAATATGAGTGAAAATACAATATTTCTACATTATATTAACGCGTAATTATGAAAAATATCGAACACAAATTGTGTCGAACGGTAATTTAGTACTTATGCAACCAAATATGCATTTTATGCAATATAAACACAAATTCTTCAAAATTACAACAGAAATTTTAATTTAATTGCATTAATCTAGTTCAATCTCAACGTTTCGCAATGTAATTGCCTTGTAAATGTTAACCGTCGACTTCCTTATTATTAATCAAGCGAATTCCAGTGCATACCTCGCAGATAAAACTCCTTAACGCATTCCTTGCCAATGCCGGTGTTGCATCCAGTAATAACGACGGTTTTGCCATCAAGACGCGCCGTCGACCTGCACTTGGAACTCAAGACGCCCATGGCAATGCACTTCTTCTTCTTCCTCTGCTATAACTATCAATGGTCAAGATCTTGATCGGCGCCGCTTTCTTCTTGTTTGTTGTAACTGTACCACGTCGTGTCTGGTCCGCTTCTTCACTGCGCGTCGACCGCCTCGCACGAACTGCGTCGCAAGACTGCGAAGCGCGAAACAAAACCGAAACTTTTTTAATTTCTGATTGAAAGGAATCAGTAATATGTCGTTGTTGCGTCGTACATTTAAGTAATTCAACACGTTTGTGTCATGGGTGTTTATGTGACAGATGCGTTTTTTAACTGGTTATTGATTTGCATAATTAGCGTGTGATGAGTACGCAAGTGCAACGAGAAATTATAATTGCATTAGAAATGATTAGATTGAAAGTAAAAACTTATTTTCTAAGCGTTTATAGTAAGAATTATATGTAAACTTATCAAAAGAGTGAAAAAAATAAGCAATTTTACCTCTTTTATCAAATAAATTAACAATTGTTTTGTAAAAATTGTAATTTTTCTGTTGAATTGAATTTAATTTGCTATAAAACTTATTAATTAGTTGTTTTAGTTGTTTGCACTTTGTTACCAGGTAGTAAAATTATGCAGTAGTGAGTTATCACCTTTTATAGACTTTAATTTGATGCAGTAATAATAATAATAATCAAATGTATTCCTTTTCTTTGCAGTTAAATGCACGCATCTATTTTCTATTTGTAATTAACTTTATTCTCGAAGGACATTTGCTCATCATTAGTGTTTTTTGATTACTTACAATCGATTACTACCAGGAATCGCTTGGAATATTTATTTATATCTTCAATAATGCAAAAGTAGATGGTAATTATCATTGTACACGCATTATACTTTGCAAAGTAAACGATTTTTTATCCATTAAATCAATGTTTTGAGGTTAAAACATGGTTAAACCAATGCAAAACAAGTAAAACGGTATTCTTGGTTGCCTATATTTAAACTAACCCCAAACATGTACAACTAATCACTTTAAATTGTTTATTTTTGTTTTTACTAAATAATTGTGTGTTTTTTAAATGTGAACAACTCAAAATAAACTTGAAACTTTAGTCCTTCACTCAATAACACTACACGATTACCTCGAACGTCTCAAGTTGTCGTTTTTGTTAGCCGCTGTTTACATATTCATACACGACGCATTTTTTTATTATGCGCCATAGGTTGATTAAAAAACACAATCACGTTTTTCGCACTGCGAGTACGTTTTAATCGTTTTTTGACGCTTTAAATGTTTAGTTGCATCCCAAATTGAAATTCATCGAACTCTCAACGTTATTTATTCGTCAATTACAAAACAACTGTGACATTCAACTCAAAACAATGTTTATACGCAACGTAACTACTGCTGATAGCTGTAATCATCGCTAATTTACATAATGAACTTTAACATAATGTTTTAATTATGTTCTTGATATAATTATTATATTTTTTGTTTATTGTAAGAGTAGAAGTATGAAAAAACGGGATATTGGGTTGCAAATGTTGGAAAATCTCGTATTTCATTCTACAAGGTCAAAGGAGACTTTTATTTGTTTAAATAAACAAGATGGGAATTAATTTGCAACTATTTTAATGTTTTTTAGTTTAATTTCGTGTTTTAAACTAATTTTTCGACTATTTTGATACTAAACGATGTAAAGCAACAAATTATATTTAAAATAATCACAAAAATGATATTTATTTGTCTAGAAATTAAAATGAAAACTCCAAAATTAATCGAAATTAATTTTTTTGTGAGAATTTACAAAAACAAAACTAAATTGCGTCGTAAATAATTAATTAAACCAAATTTCAACTAAATCTTTGTAATAATAGATGTCAAATTTAATTAGGAAGACTTTTACGCAATAATAATTAATATAAAACGTCTAAATTTGAAGTAATTAACGAAAAACTTCTACTTTTCTAAGATTAAATTTAATTCCCGACATTTTGATGAATTGTCTGATTGGTGGCGCCCCTCGCAGGAAAAATCGCCAACTAAATAAACAACCTTTGTTTTGCTCGCGCGGTTCGCGCTCTCGCTTCGTATTCGCGACTCGCGAGATTAACCAATCTAATCATTACATAAATCGCCGACAATTTGAACGATCCTATACGGAACTCATCGGCGCATTGACTTACCACGTTCATCATGCCGCTGATCACACGCAACGACTAAACGCAAAACGTAAGTTCACGATGAAATAAAACGAAGCGCATAATAAAACCATCCTCCTGAAGTTAGTTGTGTGCCGTTGTGGACCGCCGGTCCGCCGGAAACAACGTCGTTTTCATCGCGTTCGTAAATAAATCGTAAAGGAGTGGTGGGGCGCTCGCATTCGGATTCCGCGAAGTGCAGAAACGGAGAAACCTCAAGCTGCTGCCAAGGGTACGGCCGGTGCGGACTGCGGGTACGGGTACAACATACAACAAATACACAACGACCGTACAAGTGTTGAGCGAGGCAAGTGCATTCATCTCTATACACATTTCTTCAGCGGATTAGGGACCTCGACTACCTCTACTACTACTACTACTACTAGAACACGCAGTGTGCAAAGGGCCTCTTTTCATTCGCCGGTGAATCTACGCAGCGGTCGCTAGGCAAAAAAGCGGCCTGCGAGCGTAAACAATTAGTCATAGTGCGCACAGTGCGAAAGCGAAAGCTAACCAAAATCAACACAATGTAAGAATCAAGAATACGAATTCCGAACGAATTGCAATTTGTTTTGTGTGTTTTAGTTTAGGAATGTGATCATTACACACAAAGGATGATCCAGTTTAACATCACCTCAACTTAATACTCAGGAATATGTAAGTTATACATTATACATTAATTTAAACTTAAACAAAGCATAGGATATGATTTATTATTAATTTTGTGGGGTTTTGTAGATGCGATGTCGGGTTTAGCAACAAACGCGCCGACATCAGCTGATGCTTGTCTTAGCATTGTGCACAGCTTGATGTGCCATAGGCAGGGTGGTGAGAGTGAAGGATTTGCCAAGCGTGCCATTGAATCACTGGTGAAGAAGCTCAAGGAGAAGCGGGATGAGCTGGACTCACTCATTACTGCCATCACTACAAATGGGGCACATCCGAGTAAATGTGTTACGATTCAGCGCACGCTAGACGGGCGATTACAGGTGAAAAATTGCTGTTATAACCTCTAAATGTTGATAGTTTTGAATATATCATAGGTTTTGAGGAAATTTGTAGCAAATTTTGAGAGAAATAGTTAAAATATATAAGATTTATCTTAAACTAAAGAGTCATAACCTCAAAATGTTGATAGTTTTAAATATTTCATAGGTTTTGAGTCAATTTGCTTCAAATTTTGAGAGAAATAGTAAAAATTTACAAGATTTATATTAATCTAAATAATTTTAACCTCTAAATGTGGATAGTTTTGAATATTTCGTAGGTTTTGAGTAGATTTACTTTAAATTTTTAGAGAAATAGTTCAAATTTACAAGATTTTGAAATTATTCGTGTTTTTTAGCTTTCTTTTTTGCATAAATGTTGCGTTTTTTTAAGTCTAAAACTTTATTTATCACTAAAATTGATAAATAAGAATATTTTTTGACCCTAGCAACATCAGTACACATAAATATTTAGTTTATTTCGATTTATTTAGTAATTATCACTACTTTTGCAACAAAAATTCACTTTTTGTAATTTTTAGATATTTTAACCTCAAATTTTATTAAATACCCCTCCAAACCTATGTAATTTCATAGAATACATGATAATCTACACCCCTGTGAAAGATTTACACTGTTTTCTCTTTTAGTTTCTGATTTATGACCGATTTTAACTTAATATTTATGTTTTAGGTTGCTGGCAGAAAAGGTTTCCCTCATGTAATCTACGCCCGAATCTGGCGCTGGCCAGACCTGCATAAAAACGAACTAAAACACGTAAAATACTGCCAGTTTGCGTTCGATCTAAAATGCGATTCGGTGTGCGTCAATCCATACCACTACGAGCGCGTGGTATCGCCCGGCATTGATCTCTCAGGGTTGTCGATCCAACCATCCGCGCGTCTTGTCAAAGATGAATACAGCGCAGGCGGGCCTGTCCCAGGTGGCAGCGGCATGGAAGTGGACACTGAGCTGGCGATGGCTGGTGGAGTCACACAGACTATACAACATCACCCACCTCAACAGGGGTATACGTTAGCTACGTTACAATCACCGCCACCTGGAGGTATAATTATTAACTTAACCTAAAAACATAACCTGTTTTTTGATTTTGGTTTTGTTTGTTTCTATTTTTTGTGTTGATTTCGTTTACGTAGGTGATCCGAGTATAAATTATGCAAGTAATCGGCCGGTTCTGGGCCCGCCGCCGACGGTGCCGAAGCTGGAATCGGTCGCATCCGCGCAGGATGCGCACCAGCGCAACAATTGGCTGCCCTCACGTATGCATCTACCGATTCGTAAGCGATTACTTTTTGATTTTTTGATTTTCTTTTAAGTTTCCTTATCGTTGCTTTCCGCGTAATGTGCAATTACCCGCTGCAAACAATTGTTTGTTATGGTATCGTGTGCGCGACATATCAATTTACATTTGGCTGATTTGCGAACGCGTTAAGTAAATGCTCGATGCATTGAACTCCATTTTGTTTACATGCGCGCCGAGTTGGTGTGTTTTTTTCATGCGCGATTCCACCTCACAGAAGCTCGTAATTCGCGATTGAATCGCAGCGCAATGTGGTTGTAGTTAAAGTTATAAAATATTTCAGCTTCTGGTGGTGTGCACCAACACAACGCGATGCCGCAGCAAGCCGGGCCTGGCCAGGGGCAGTTTTATGGAGCGGCGCCACCGCCGCAAAACAACGGCCAGCAGCAGGTTGAGCGCCAGCAGGTGGCTGATATAAATTCCACGCTTGGTAGTACTTCGCCTGTGTCGCCACATTTACAACAGAACGGTTTCGCTAATCAACAGCAACCAGTCGCTAATGTGAGCACGGGCGGTGGTCAAACCGCCACACCTGCTTCGGGGCAAGCATTTACGGGCGCCGGTGGGACTTGGACCGGTGCGAATACTCTCACCTACACACAGAGTATGCAACCACCTGAGAATCGCAATCATCACAATAATTACTGTAAGTTTTTTCATCTTTTTACTTGTTTTTAGTTAAATTTTTATGTTTTGTGTCTTCAGGGAATCACAATTCGACAAATCAAATCGGTAACGATGTGGGTAACATCGCTGGACTGCTAAGTAATCAACCAGCGCCTGAATTTTGGTGTTCCGTAGCGTATTTTGAGCTGGACACTCAAGTGGGTGAAACATTCAAAGTACCATCGAGTTGTCCGAATGTAACAGTCGATGGTTATGTGGATCCAAGCGGTGGTAATCGTTTCTGTCTCGGTGCGTTGAGTAATGTCCATCGTACTGAACAAAGCGAGCGTGCGCGTCTGCACATTGGTAAAGGTGTTCAGCTTGATTTGCGCGGCGAAGGCGATGTGTGGTTGAGATGTTTAAGCGATCACTCTGTGTTCGTGCAGAGTTATTATTTAGATAGGGAAGCTGGACGTGCTCCGGGCGATGCCGTGCATAAGATTTATCCGTCTGCGTATATCAAAGTGTTTGATTTACGGCAGTGCCACGGGCAGATGACTCAGCAAGCTGCGACTGCTCAAGCGGCGGCGGCTGCGCAGGCCGCTGCTGTTGCTGGACACATACCGGGACCTCATAGTGTTGGTGGAATTGCACCAGCTATAAGTAAGTTTCCTTCAAAGCAGTCATTTTATTTTTTTGTTTTTTCCTAATTTTATTAATTTTCACTTTAATAACAATAGGTTTATCAGCAGCTTCAGGAATTGGCGTCGATGATCTGCGACGATTGTGTATTCTACGTTTGAGTTTCGTGAAGGGCTGGGGCCCGGATTACCCGCGGCAGTCGATCAAAGAAACGCCATGTTGGATCGAAGTGCATTTGCATCGCGCCCTGCAGCTGCTCGATGAGGTTTTGCACACGATGCCAATCGATGGCGCGCGTGGAATTGAATAAACTCGCACGCAATTGACCAGGTAACATTTAACTCTAATACACACCCTCAATCAATCAATCAATCGAAAAAGTGAAGAGGTTAAGCACACCGCGCTGTGGCATGATTTAGACAACCAAATATGCAGCAAAACAAAACACAAACAAAAGAAATTTAAGAAATGATAAACGTAGTCAGATATTTTTTTACAACAGCATTATTCGATTGCCTGCGGTGTGATGTTGGATATTGTGTGGTGTGTGGATATAGTGATAGCACATACAATTATTTTTATCCTGATATGAATATTGAATCGAATACGCAAGGCAAGAAAAAAATATTGATGTGTTATTAGTATTTTATATTATTCTATTATTAGATTTTCTATCATTTGTTAAAAATTTTTATCCGACTGAGTCGTTTTCGATTCGAGCCAAACCATCACAAGCAATAGCAATAGCCAGAGGATTACTACAGATACAATACAATACAATAGAGTGCAGAACAGGTATACATACACATATTATTCAGTTTGAGAAAGCCATAGACTATTTATGACATAATATTTTATACATACCACATTATATATACACATATTATATATTTAATGTTTTTCCTTGTACATTGTCGCTGTTTTTCTAATTTTATTTGACTGTGCGAGCTGTCAAACTGTGAACAGTTGGCCTTTTTGGTTCATGAAATGATAATAAATACACTTGACCATGAGATTCATAAATTTTCTTTCAGAAAACGACAAAAAATTAGATAAGAGTGGTGGGGAAAGTGCGATTGCGCTAGGATAGTGTATAAGTTGTATTTCACGCGCTAGTGCACCTCCCTGCACTTTTTGCTGGTTCTAGGTTCCTTTCTTCCTTCCTTATTCAGTATTTAATAAAAATATAATTAGTTTTTACTCTCTTGTTCTAGACATAGTATGTGTCAATTCTATCAATAAGATTTGCAATTTTATTTTAAAGGAAGTAATTATATAAAGAATTGCTAATAATGCACTTCAGCGCGCCATCTCGGATTCAACTATTTAACTGTAACTATGATTGAATCTCAATACCAACTTTTATCCTATAGAAAAGAGCGGTCTTTAGGGTTTTCCCAGTAATTATTTGAATTTTTCTCACCGTAAAAACCATCCTTGGACTTGAACGAACATTTAAAAAAAGAATTGGCCAAATTGGTCTAGGCGTTATTGAGTTATGCGCTTACCAACAAATTTTGCGGTTCATTTTTATATTATAGATGTACATAAAAGTCTGTACATTATTATCTTTTATTACTTTGCGCTTTATTATTTAACAATATCTAAATATCAATTTGTTTATTATTTGTTTTTTTGTATTACATGTTTTCCAATAATGACAACAATGATAAATATTGCAAACTTTTGACAAATCTTAAATATTAAAGTACAAAAACACTACTAATCACATTCCTATAAACTAAATAACTTACAAAGTCTACATCTACTACATCTACAACATCTACAAATAAGAAAACAGAAACACAATGAAACATTATCATGAATTCGTAAATTTCATAATATGTTCATTTGTTTACAAGATTAATACTTATGAAATACATGTACAAAAGTCACTTCTTTGAACTTTTAACAGATCATCCTAAACCTAATTAAATTGTTTTGACTACGACAATAACAAATACATAAATACATCTTTTAATATAAATATATAAAATGATTTATAAACCATTTATACTGCAGTAGTATAAAACAATTACCTAAAAGTGTTAGTTTTTTTTTTTGTTTTTCATTTTGAAAGTTTTAAAGTTTTACTATTTTACGCACACGTCATTAATCATCATTGGTCATTACTATTTTGGTTCCTATTCTATGTAAATATAAATAATATGTTAGGTACGTTTACTTTTTGTTTACTTTTCTTTTGCGTTTGTTGCTTGTGTTCTGTTTCAGGTTAAGACACGGCGCAGTTGGTTCTTTCTGTGAGGTTTCCATTCGTGCGTTCGATTTCACGCAGCAGCACGTTGAAAATATCAAGAACATCCTTTAAACAACAACATACAATAGATTATTATACAAAGTAAGTGTTAGTTATTAATATTTACTTCTTGGTGTTTAGCTGACGTCTCCAAAAACACCGCTTTCCACTCCTCGGCCAATTTGCGCCCTTGTTCTGGTGATATCGCACGTTGTTTGTGCAAATCCGTCTTGTTACCAACCAAAACAATTGGTAAACTGTAAAATGACACGAGTTGAAACATGAAATGCAACAAAACAAAATGGCCGACACATACTCAACTTTCCCCGTGATGTCCAACAGTTTGGCGTACAAAGACTTAATCACCTCGAACGATTTATTGCTCGTTACGCTGTAAACAAGGACATATCCGTGGATATCTATACCGTACTGTGATGTTATCAGCGAATACTCGTCCTGCCCCGCCGTGTCGATCACCTTTAGCTCGTAGTCTTGCGAATTGAAACGCGCGCGCTTTGTAAACGCTGCAAATGTTAATTTAAACATTGAAAAATTAAGTTTTTTTAATGATTTAAGTTTTTTTTTGACTCAACTGTTTTCTATCGTTGGATTATAATCGTCTACGAATTGTCCTTCGACGAATTGAATACTCAGAGATGATTTACCAACTGATCTGTAGCCCATTATAACGACTTTGCGTTGTTTGCAAGACATTTTGATTAATTTTTCGTGATTTAGTGATTTTTATTGACAATACGAGCACAAAAACGTACAAACACGATGAACGCGTACCAAACACTGCTTCGAATCACTGTGGGATCTCTTTATCGTGTCTTTTCTTATCGGAGTTGCCATGTGCGGTGAGGAAAAAAACAAAAGAAGAAAAACAACATTCGCAGGCATTTGTTTTCAGTGCTACAGTCGGCGTCGACTTGTAAACAACACAAAATTTTACGTGTTACGATTTCAATTAAATATTTAACGTATATATAATTTAAATAAATGTTACTGTGCATTTTTTCATCTAAAATAAGTGTTTTTAATGTTAAAAACGCAAGAAACGCAAGGGTTTCATAATAGATTAGTTCGTATTCTAATAATAGATGGCGCTGGCAGTGTCAAAATGCTTAGAACACTGTTAAACATGCAAAACTTTTCGACAGTTTCGTGCGGTTGTTTCAAAGAAGCTGTTCACCACCGACGCTACCGAGATTTTCAACAATTCCGCTACAGAATCAACGAAAAAGGTAAAATAACTTTACAAACCCATCATTATTTATCGACCAAATAGAATTATTTACTGAGAAACCACCCAACAATTGAATTATATACTTCTTGACCGTAACAAAATCGAGTTAAACATGCAATAGTATATAAATTAAAGATGGCGTACTCCGAGATTCCGTTTCGCTATAACATCATAGAAACTATCAGATTTAAAACACTTAAACTTTGGATGACGCTTGCGCTAACAAACTCTCGACGTATTTCATGTGCGGCAGCATTCGCTTCACGTAGTTGACGACGTCGCGGTGAATCGTGCGGTTCAGCATGTAATCATCATCGACGATGCGTTTCAGACGCGCAACGCGCTCTTCTTTGGCTGCTTTGCTTGAGATTCGAGTTAATTTTTCTGAAATGAAATTTTAAAAAATATTTAAATGTATAAACAATTGTTTTGACTGAATGATAGTGCACGCACCTTATAATTATTATAACTATTTAGTTTTAAATTTCTTATGAACATTTCATGTTGTTCGGGATCAGTCTTGGTATAGTAACATCTAAGCACAGCCACAAGATGTCGCACTTGTTCGCTTGTTAACTTCCAGCGTTTTTGCGCTAAAATGCCCATTGCGGGTGTGTAGCCTTGCAAAACGCATTCTTTTGAGAACTCTGGTAGATTTGCAAATGAATGCCAGGTCTAATTTGTCTCTGAGCATAGAAAATTCTTCACATGGACATTCCACTATGAAAATTATAAAAATTATAAAATGAAAAACTGCGAGACTCTCGCACGTTTCGAGACTGTAAACATGTAAACCGTGCAGAAACCAATCGGTAGACGCGATACAACTTTGCCGTCTTTTAAAACCTCTTTATAGACATAATAATACACCCAGTTGGGGTCTGTGTAGTCTATGATTGATGCAGCATCAATAAAGAAGACTATCAGCGCCTGGAAACGTTTGTGAAAGTCTAAAAACGCCGCCACATTTGGATCACATTTTGTAATATAAATATTTGTGGGTATATTATCTTTATCTGCAAATATTTCAGTTATTTTTTAATCGGTTTTATGGTAAAATAATTTTACTAACCATGGAGTTGAAATGACAACACAATATCACCAAACATCTTCATTAAATCTTCACTTTCTTTGAGTTTGATCAATTCTTCAGGTTTGATTAAATGTGGAAACCATTCCTGGAGTTTCTCATCAATGGTTGAAATACAACCAAGTTATTGTAATTCAATTTTACGTTTCATTTTCAACAAATTATTATTATGTAGGGATCTTTACTAACAACTTATTCTATATTTACAAACTCAATAATTTTCTTCATCTATATTGCATGCACTCTATAACTTTCTTCATCTATATTTGCATGCCATAATTCTTCGTATAAAATTCCCAAAATTCCTAATTACTTTTAATACACCCCTTGAAAACCTAATCCCCGAGTCGGACGGTTTTGGCACGCTGTATCTAGCGTGCGGTCGATAACAGATGGTCAACCAGTTCCCAAATCCGATGGTCAACTTTCCCTCTCTTCAATGTCACACTTTCTTCTACCAATCAAATCTATCGCTTTCTGGCTTCCAAATTTCTTGTCACCACCTGAAGGTTGCTGGTAGTGACAAGGGTATCAAGAAGATCAGTTATTCCACTTAAAGCAACGCTTCTACAGTACTTCTTACTCTACTCTTCTTCAAGAGTTGGTAAACTTTAACATTAAACATAATGGTTCATTGATAATTGACAGAGTGTCGTTTACATTTAATAAATGCTCTCAAATATACCATAACCACACTGTTCGTGATAATTAAACATCGTGTCTTTTACACTCTATCAATTATAACTCACACCGATCACACAATTATATAAAACATAGCACACATAAAGCTTGTTAGAGGTACAAATATTAAATCCAAAAATGGAAATAAATTAATCCCGCTTTGTTACGTTACGAATCCTTTAAGAGGCTGAGGAGGCACCGGAAGTGGTACTCTGAGGGTATCTACAGTATTAGAATCTCGATATGTTCAGGAAAGCGGTGAAAATTTTAAGTTATCAAGGTTTAAGTTATCGAGTTGAAGTTAGAGAGGTTACTGGAATATAATTTTTAACGTAACGAGGTTCATGGATTTCAAGATTGTGAGCGAAAAAGGAATGTTCTTTGACTTGTTTGTTTAATTCAATTGAGGGGTTGTGTTCCTTTAAACGGGGTGTAAATAATTGTTTCGTGGTGTTAAGAACATTGTAATCCCTTTGGCTAACGTCGGTAAACAATACATTGACATCAATTTATTTGTGAAAATAAGATATACGCGCGATGTTTGTTGACTTTGGTGGTTTTGCTGGTTTGTTCACTTGTTGAAGCTCTTCTTTGTTGAGGATTGTCTTCAATGGCTTCACTACTTCAGTAGGATGTGAAAAGTTATAAACTTGAACTTCGTCCAAGTACTTTCTATGCTCGGCAACTGCTTGTTTAATCCATGGCACTTTCTTTTTAGCCGACATTTTGTATGCGCTTTTATCAGCGACATGTTCCTCTTTGCTGAGGTGGTCTTCCAGAAACAGTGTGAATGCAGTGCGTGGTTTCTTTGGTCCTGGGTACTTTTGGACCACTTCAGTCTTGAGTTGTGGATGTTTTTCATAGAATTGTTCGACTTTACGTTCGTATTTGCGCATGCTTACGGCAGCACGGTCCAAGTAGCATTGTTTAGCCGCTTCGGAAAGTTGTTTGTACTTTTGACCACCAATGCGTGCGATTTCTGTGATTTTCGCGTCTTTCGTCTCGCGCATAATGTCAGCTTTAGCATCTTTGAGAAATAGAAGGAAAGCAGATTTAGGTCGCTTGGGAAAATCGGGATGTTGTTTGGTGGCTTTTTTTTTGCGCTTCGCCAGGGTTCAGACATGTAGCGATACTGTCTTTGTCGTTTCTGGATTGCGTCCCAGATCTTTGCGCATCTTTCAGCTGTGTAGTCACCAAATGCAACCTGGGGAACAAAAAATATACATAATCACAGAATCTGTGGTATTTTACCTTTTCCCAGTCCAGTTTTTTAGTTCTGGCCTTAGGAGTGATACTTTCAGTCTCTGGTAACAATTTTTGAATACCATTTAAGAGTAATTGCAGGTCAGCTTTTGGAATCTCCAACAAATCAATCTCTGCCTCAGGATCGCCATTTTCTTCAGTTATTACTGGTGGAATCAGCTCATCAAACATGGCTTCTTCTTCACTTTCTTCATCTTTGACCTTTACTGGAATTTTGTGCTTTTTTTCTTTCTTGTGCTTCTTTTTGGGACTGCTGGTTGTACTTTCTTCAGAAACACTATCATTTCTGGAGTGTTTATGATGATTGCCATGATCCCCCTTACTCTTCCTGCTTGGGGTAGTTATGTCCTCCAAAATTAAGGCATTCAACTTCTCAGTTTTGGATTTGTTCTTTTTTGGCGAGGGTTTTACAATCTCAACCGGAGTCTCAACTACAATAGGTGTCTGCTTCTTTTTATTTTTGTTTTTCTTGGACATTTTTGTGGGTGTCACTGGTTCTGGCTCAGGTTCAACGGCTTCAACGGTTTTCGGCTTTCTTGATTTACCTTCTGGTGGTGTTGAAATAATCGAAAAGCCTGCAATATCCACTGAAAATCCGGAATTATTCACAACTTTACCTCAGCCTAAAACAGTCAATCAATTTGTGGATATCAAAGAAGAAAACGATGAGTTTCTGTTGAAAAAAGAGCAACCCACCGAAAAACCTGTGAAAAAACCTGTTAGAATTATTGCACCATCTTTGAAAGACTTTGATAGTGATGAAGAAGATGAACCAAAAGATAAAAGACAAAAAATTGTCTCAGTAAGTTAAATTCAATACATTTTTATTGATAAATCAACTTAAAATAATAATTTTGTAGAAATCCAGTGGTTTATTTTCAATATTACCACCACCCAAGATAGCAACAGTCACAACAAAGACTTTAATACCTAATTCAGTTGCCAAAAATGCTAAAAAGGCATCAAATAATTTAATACCAAGAAATGTCAAGACAAAAGCACAAAATACAACTTCACAAAGTAAAAACATGACTTCTGATGATGAAGATGATGATTTTAAAGTAGAGGAGTTTGATGTGAATGCATGGAAAGCTGTCTGTGGCAGAAAACCCAAACTAGAGCCAATTGTACAAGTGGTTGATCATAGTGAACAAAATATTCAAGCAGATATTGTATCTGCACCTGACCCTTCTAAGCCTTATGAAGGTTTAGACAATGAAGCAGTAAGCATTTATATTTTGCATTTAAACAACATAGTTTTATTATTAAACATAATTTTAGTTCAAAAATTAGTTGGTTCTTCTAAAATTCGCCCAGAAAATATTAAATTCATTGATATAAATGAAGAGGAAGTAATGACAGATGAAGATATCATAAGAGCTAAAGCCTTGACTGATCCAGAAGTAGAAAGACCTTCAGCAGCTGAAGGAGAGCCTATAAGTGCCATGAGTAAACGGAAACATCATATTACTTACTTAGCTCAACAGGTAATGATGGTTTTAATTAATTAAAATATATAAAAAGAAAATTGGTTTTATTTTTTGATGATTTTAGGCGAAGGCAAATGAACAAGAATTGAAAAATAGATGGGCTTCAAATAAATATTCTAGAAAACAAACACAGGCAAAATATGGTTTTAAAATAGAAATAAAGATTTAATAAGTTTAATAAAAAGTAATAATGTGCTTTATTCAGTACAATATTCCAATATAAAAATACTTTATAGCTATATTTGCTGCAATAAGTGCTTTAATGACCATGAATGATGAATTAAATGTCAATGACTATTGTAGCGCCTTGAGTTGAGCTGATCCAAGGCTGCAAAAAGTGCCATGACTAGTGTTAAATGCGTTTCTTTTGCGTTTACATCTTGTATCAGGTGTGCATTGCGATTTTTTGTTTGAAAAATCATCACAGACGTCGGTATTTCGGACGCACAATCTCCTCTTACCTTTACCATTGCATTGATTGTTTTATAAATCTAATAATATATGAATGTAAATTATAAAGTATAAAATGATATAGGTAACTTAATTATTAATAGAACTTATACCTATTTATATCTAAATCTAAACGGACTCGAATCGGATTGCACGTTTCGAGACTGTAAACATGTAAACCGTGCAGAAACCAATCGGTAAACGTGATACAACTTTGCCATCCTTTAAAACCTCTTTATAGACATAATAATACACCCAGTTTGGGTCTGTGTAGTCTATGATTGATGCAGCATCAATAAAGAAGACTATCAGCGCCTGGAAACGTTTGTGAAAGTCTAAAAACGCCGCCTCATTTGAATCACATTTTGTAACATAAATATTTGTGGGTATATTATCTTTATCTGCAAATATTTCAGTTATTTTTTAATCAGTTTTATGTTAAAATAATTTTACTAACCATGTAGTTGAAATGACAACACAATATCACCAAACATCTTCATTAAATCTTCACTTTCTTTGAGTTTGATCAATTCTTCAGGTTTGATTAAACTACCCTGAGTTTCACCAATATTATCAGCTATTTCCCAATCTTATGATTGTTGGCTATTGCTGAGTAGGTGTAATTCATACTAGTATGAAAACCAGTGTATTGTGAAATTGATGAGTAGTTGCCTCATATCCAGTTAATACCTCTCTACATATTATATAAGAAATGTTGATTTTCTTTTTAGAAAAAAAACGACTTACTTGTGCCAAAACTTGATAAAGCCATTGTAGGAGAAAATGTCTTGAGATTATTTCTCTGTTTCATCAGATTCTTGATCATATATACTCAGATAAAACCACAACTTTTAGTGTTTTTGATGAAAATTTCTATAACACTACAAATTGAAACTTGGTGATCCAAAGCTCCCTACCCAAATAAGGTTAATAATCAGGTCATAGTCCACATCAAAACCATTGAAGTACTTCTTACCTGGCTTTCAATTCGCCACATGCGCGACTGAGTTGACTTTCGGCATGATTACCGTTAACTGAGGTTTCCTCTGTTTTCTTTGTTCTCTTCCATGTGATTGCCGAGGTGAGAAACGCAAAGTTTTCGGTTTCTGCAAGTAAGTGCCTCCGGAATTTTATTACATCTTCGCGGTCGCAAATGATTTCGAATATTTAATACCAGAGGTGTTGATAGTGCATCCAGATGGTAGTTGCACGTACTGCGGAAGCCAGTGCCATCCCCTTTGTTTATGCTGTTTTGGTACCGACTACTCAGGATAATCTGGTTACCTGCGTAGGTAACCTGCTAGCTTAAACCGTCGCCATTACCGCATTGGTAATCAATCGCGTGCATCATGCGCTACGTCGCAAACCTTTATAGCGCGGCCATTTTACCTCGCGCTAACCGCAATATTAATCTAATACGTTTGCAACCGGCGCTTGTTTGTAAATTGTGTTATATTCAATAATCAAATGAATTTCTTCATCTTTACATACTCTGTACAATAAATTTGTTATAACAATCGTTTGAATCGTCATAAACTCGTCAATAAACTTATCATTACTAATACATACAAAAAAATAAATAAATAAAATATCAAACGAGTTAAAAAAGTACGCGCCGCACAGGAACGAGTAACAATCTTTAGTTGGTTAGTCGGAAGACGCGTCGCCTTTCACTCGGATTCACCGGAATCGTCATTAAGCCGCTTCCCGCTTCGGCATCGGTCTCATCGTCATCATCTTCATCATACCATCGTCGGCAGTCCTCCAGGTACATTTTCTTCCACTTTCACACTCGCTGTTTCTGTCTCGAAGCGTCCCGGAACGCGGTTCGCTAGCGCGCAGACATGTAAATCTTCATCGTCTTCACTCATTGCTGACCAGTGCTGGGTAAAGCTTTAAAATTGTTCTGGGAATTTAATTTTTTTTATATAAAACAACAAAACGTGAAAATAATTAAGTAATAATTTATATTGAAAACAGATTGTCTTTTTCTCTCCTTCTTCACCTTTCGGTCTTCTTTTTCTCTTCCATGTCCACAACTCCAGCCGTTCGCCTTCCTGGCAATTTATCCAGGTGGTTACTTTTATAATCTTTTGTAATTTTCAGGTCACTTACCATTCATCAAGTGATCCTCTTTTGCTCACTTGATTCCACTGCTGCTTACGCGATCTTTGGCAGCTAACCCCGATAACCTACCAGAAGACATCAATTGTTGTGAAAATAGAATATAAGCAGATGTTAAGGGCTTCATGGTTTACCTTCGGATTTATTCAACATTTGCAGCTCTTTTCTTTGTTGAGGATTGTTTCAATGTATTTACCTACTTCAGTAGGATGTGAAAGTTATAAACCTACTTCGCCTTAAGTACTTTCTGCGGTATGCTCTGCAACCGCTTGTCCATGGCACTTTCTTTTTGCTTCTCGACATTTTACCCGCTGCCTGTTTCTCTGACGCCATTTGCGCGCTACCAGCTACATGTTCCTCCTGTTGAGTGATCTTCCAGAAACAGTGCGTGAATGCAGTGCGTGGGTTTTGTCCTGGGTACTTTTAATCACCGGCCCTGGCGCTGCGGTGGATGTTTCTCGTAGAATTGTTCCACTTACGTTCGTACTTGCGCATGCTTACAGCAGCACGGTCCAAGCGCAGCTTGTTTTGCGGCTTCGGAAAGTTGCTTGCACCTTTGGCCATGTTCAATGCTATTCGTACTTTCGTCTTTCGTGTCAGTATAAACGCCCGCTTTAGCGCATCTTGGAGAAATAAAGGAAAGCAGATTTAGGCCGTTTGGGAAAGTCAGGGTAGTTGTTTGTAGCTTTATTTTTGCGCTTCGCCAGGCGTGTGTCTAACCATACCAAAAGCATCTTCGATGTGAGTTCAGACATGTAGCGATACCAATCTTTTGTTGCCGTGGATCGCGTTCCAGATCTTTGCGCATCTTTCGGCTGTGTAGCCACCAAATGCAACCTGTAATGAAAATTGTACATTTTAGGACTTTAAATATCACAGAATCTGCATACCAGTCCATTTTTTAGTTCTACCAGGCGATACTTTCAGTCTCTTGGTAACACTTTTGGATACCATTTAGTTATAATTGCAGGTCACGGAATCTCTAACAAATCAATTCCCGCCCGTGGATCGCCATATATTTTCTCTTCAGTTATTACTGGTGGAATCCAACATCACACATGTATTTCTTCTTCTTCACTTTCTTCATCTTCTTGACTTTTACTGGTTTTGCGCTCTTTCTTCTTGCGGCTTCTTTTTAGATTGGCTGTAATTTCTCTTCAGAAACACGGCTTTGGAGTGTTTATGATGACTCACCAGTTTCACCCCACTTTCCGCTTGGGGCAGTATCCCAAAATGGTAGCTACCAACTTCAGTTTGATTTGTTCTTTTTTATGAGGGTTTCACAATCTCAACCGGGGTCTCTGGTGCAATCAAAAATTGCTTCTTTATTTTGCTTTTCGGCATACTGTGTGTCACTGGTTCTGGCTCAGGTTCAACGGGTTTCACCCATTTCGCCTGTTTGCCCATTTTGTTTGAGGTTACTACCTGCAAACAAACACGTTTCTTTTGCTTAGAATACTTGATTTGATAAGAAAATAAAGCATGTTTTCTGAGAGATTTTAGAATTGATCAAAAAATATAAGTGAACACTCTTCGGTGATCGTTCTCTGATGAGTGGGATTAGGACTAGCTTGTTAAAAGCGCGCGAATAGCATGTGCATGCGTACTGACGCCACGTATTTCAAGGTGAAGAGGAGTGATAATGAGAGTAAAACCGTTGTAAAGATGCGAACGCGATGGAAGGGTTAACAACGCATGCGCTTTGTAAAGATTTGTAATACTACACAACCTCGAAATTGTCTTACATAAAATACGTAAACATTACCAGTCAATATTTTAGAAAAAAGAACGTAATATAAATTTGATATTATGGCGTTAGTTGCTTATGCTAATAGTGATAGTGATAACATAACTGATGATGAAGACGATTTACCTTCTGGTGGTGTTGAAATAATCGAAAAGCCTGTAATATCCACTGAAAATCCAGAATGATTCACAACTTTACCTCAACCAAAAACAGTCAATCAGTTTGTGGATATCACAGAAGAAAACGATGAGTTTCTGTTGAAAAAAGAACAACCCACTGAAAAACCAGTGAAAAAACCTGTTAGAATAATCGCACCATCTTTGAAAGACTTTGATAGTGATGAAGAAGATGAACCAGAAGATAAAATACAAAAAATTGTCTCAGTAGGTTAAATTCAATACATTCTTATTGATAAATCAACTTAAAATAATAATTTTGTAGAAATCCAGTGGTTTATTTTCAATATTACCACCACCCAAGATTGCAACAGTCACAACAAAGACTTTAATACCTAATTCAGTTGCCAAAAATGCTAAAAATAATTTAATACCAAGAAATGTCAAAACAAAAGCACAAAATACAACTGCACAAGGTAAAAATGTCACTTCTGATGATGAAGATGATGATTTTAAAGTAGAGGAGTTTGATGTGAATGCATGGAAAGCTGTCTGTGGCAGAAAACCTAAACCAGAGCCAATTGTGCCAGTGTTTGATCACAGTGAACAAAATATTCAAGCAGAAATTGTATCTGCACCTGAACCTGCTAAGCCATATGAAGGTTTAGACAATGAAGCAGTAAGGATTAATATTTTACTTATTTATTTCAATATAGATTTATATATTATTAAACATAATTTTAGTTAAAAAAATTAGTTGGTTCCTCTAAAATTCCTATTAAATTCATTGATATAAATGAAGAGGAAGTAATGACAGATGAAGATATCATAAGAGCTAAAGCCCTGACAGATCCAGAAGTAGAAAGACTTTCAGCAGCTGAAGGAGAGCCAATAAGTGCTATGAGTAAAAGGAAACATCATATTACTTACCTAGCTCAACAGGTAATGATGATTTTAATTAAATTTAAAAAAAAATTGGAGTTTATTTTCGGTGATTTTTAGGGGAAGGCAAATGAACAAGAGTTGAAAAATAGATGGGCTTCTAATAAATATTCTAGAAAACAAACACAGGCTAAATATGGTTTTTAAAATTGAAATAAAGATTTAATAAGTTTAATAAAAGTAATAATGTGCTTTATTCGTACAATATTCCAATATAAAAATACTTTATAGCTATATTTGCTGCAATAAGTGCTTTAATGACCATGAATGATGAATTAAATGTTAATGAACGTGAAGCGCCTTGAGTTGAGCTGATCCAAGGCTGCAAAAAGTGCCATGACTAGTGTTAAATGCGTTTCTTTTGCGTTTACATCTTGTATCAGGTGTGCATTGCGATTTTTTTGTATGAAAAATCATCACAGACGTCGGTATTTCGGATGCACAATCTCCTCTTACCTTTACCATTGCATTGATTGTTTAATAAATCTAATAATATATGAATGTAAATTATATAGTATAAAATGATATAGGTAACTTAATTATTAATAGAACTTATACCTATTTATATCTAAATCTAAACGGACTCGAATCGGATTGAGCAGACGCGCCGGAGAAATAATTGTAGCAGGCATGAGAAGCATACTTCCGCAGCTATTAAGAAATGAGGGGTGCAGAGCACTAGGAAAAGCGCAAAGAGTATCAGAAGAATCATTTGTGAGATGTTGCGATGGCGTCGGTGGTGTTATCTTGAGTCAGTCTCATCAATTGTTACCATCTCCACCTGAAAATGATAAAAATTCATTAATTTTTTGTTAAAAATATTATTTGCATTTAATATTGCTTGTTTGATGCGTGAAGTTGTTGATTGGTGGTAGTAATGTGCATAAGAGACTGAAATATAACTCTTGGGTATAAACCTAGATGGCGCTACGATGCACTTATTTGCATTTAATATTGCTTGTTTAATGCGTGAAGTTGTTTATTGGCGGTAGTGATGTATACATTTGACTAAAATACAACTCTTGGGTTTAAACCTAGATGGCGCTACGATGCACTTATTTTCATTAAATTCTGATAAAATACTTTGTTTATACACCTGCCGCGATACAAACGCGAACGTACAATATTTGTGTTTTTTTCTTATCATTGTGATGTTTTTAAAGATTACAAACCTAAATATCACAATAAAAAATAATTCAAAATGTTTTTCCAGTAATGTTAATTAAATCTGTATGAAAATGAACACTGAAACTATTTTGAAACTCAAAGTAAACAAAAGACTAATCGCACATGCATGGAATTTAATAAAGCATTGTATTAGCGCGCTGTTGCACAAACCGTGCGCACATCGCATTGCGATGAAGTTTGAAAATAAAATTGAAAGCTCAGTGTGAAAACTTTGCACTTACACTTTTGCACCTCACACACGCACGCAAAGTACTCTCGTTTCGTCGATGTGTATACATATATATTTATGCACTCGCAACCGACGCCTTTTTTTAATTAACACTTCATGCGTAATAATCACACACTCTCCTCTCGCCCGGAGTTGTTCTATTTTGCGCGCTTTTGTTGATCATTTCGCGCGCACGCCATTGTTTCGCCGCTTTAATGCGGAACTGTGCGAGAGGCGTGCGGCGTTGTGTTCTTAATTTAATGAACAGCCAGAAGCCGCAAACACACTCTCTGCAAATGTGCAACTGTGAGTAAATTTTTAACGCGCACGATGAGTTTGATTTCGGCGCTGAGTTGACTACTGTCGCAGCGTAATTGTTCAATAGTTAAATGTTGATTATGTTCTGCGTCGCGATGCGAGTCTGCCGGCCACTAAAATGATTTGCCAATGTTTGGACGTGGAGTGTGTGCAATCGGCTGGTTTCTCGTTTTTGTATTGGCCGGTGGAACTCGAAGGCCGGTTGGAAATGTTTGTTTAAAACGTTTTAAACTTTAGATAATTAACTTTGCTTGAAGCTTATGCAACTTGTAGTATAATAGTGAGGATTCTATCAAGTAGGCGGGGCAAAAATGTAATTTTAAACACTTAAGTACCACTTAATTAACCAATTTTACAGATAATAATTATTTTTATTTATAATTACTTATCAATGATTTATAATGCGAAATTCCAAGTGAATTGCTTCACGAGTACAAAATTCAAGTGTGTGATTATGCGTGTATGCAAAAAGCGTTCGAGTGTGTCGCACGATAGAAAATATGTAATCACGAAGGACGTAGACTAAGAAGTAAAAAGTAAAACTTTTCAAGCATTGCAAATGCACGTGTAGTTTTTTTTTTATACTTACATAATCCAAAAGTAGGTCTCGCTTTCTTTTTCGTTGGGACGATGCGCACCGGGCGTGGGTTGGAAGGGCCGCTGTGCGGGCGTACGCAGCGCGCTACCCTCGCCGAACTTGTTTTGAATGTGGCCGAATAGAGCGCTGAAGAGACTCATTGTTTACCTTCCACGGCGCCGCACTATCTCTGTTACAATGCGCTGCAAAATGGAACGAATGTGATAAATGCGCGCCGTGATAAAAGTCAAATAAATTGCGACTTTAGTTTGGACTTAGTCACTTAAGTCGGAAACAAAGTCTAGACACAAACGCACCGAATACAAAGTACACATTTAAGCAGAATTAATTTATATACGCGTTAACGTCTAAAAATAAATGTTCAACTCACGTTTGCTGTGTTGTTGATGTTTAGAACCACAAATAGACTATGCACATACGAACCACACACGTTTGACACCTTCTGTGATTCGCTGTAGTTAACTTGTTAGTTGAGAATTCGAATGTTGGTCAACAGTTGAAGACGCTGGATGGCACTTGACACCACACCGCAGCACAAACTCAAGAAGTCACAAGAACTCTGGCAAAGTAAACTTCGACTACTGCTGAATGCACGACGACGACGCTGAGACCCGAACTGAAACAGCACGCAAGCAGCTGTTCTCTGTTTTGGTTCCCTTCTTTTCTAAATCCAAAGTCTTGGGTATTTGCGCCTTGGTGCTCTGTCTTTGTTTATTTTCTGGGCGCAGTCGTGGCGCGCGTTATTATTGCCTGACGCGCTTAAACTGGTAGCACGGTAAGTAACCGGCCTCGGTTCTCGCACGACCCACAACAAACCGGCCCCCAGCGAGCAACGCGAATGCAAGTCGTGCATGTATACAACAAAATGTCGCTCTCTGGTATGAAAATCGTGTCGATGCCATGTGCGGCGTGGTCGAAGGCCGACTTTCCCTACTTTGCGTCTCTAGAGAGCAAAAACACACTCGTGGACTGATCAGTTGATTACAAAACTTGATTAGCGCAACATTCGACGCAAATTCCACGCGTAAACTTCCTCATTTTTTGCTTTTCTTGTTTGGAAATTCCGTGCTTGATGAATAAACGCACGCATGTTTGGTATTCGCCCGTGCACGGACAATAAGTCATCATTTAATTAGTTCCTACTTGTTTCTGATGGAATTGAAACGTGTTTGGATGGTTTTCTTCGCTCGTGGCCGGCGAGTGAACTTTGAGAACGTCCGTCTTGATGCGCCAGTTCTCGCTCGGTTATCGCCACTTGCATAATGGCAATAAAGCTTTATCACTTCTGTTACGGCTGTTATGACATCAACTTTAATAAACTTTGCGTGGATTAAACGCAATTCAAATGCAATCGTGCTGTTTAGGAGTTTATTGTTTAATAGGGAAAAATGTGGGAACGAGGATACATTGCGTGTTTGTTTTAGTTGAACAACTCACAACATAGTTATTAATAGAATGTTTATCTACATGCGATTGTATAGTTAATCTTTTACGCATCAATGACTTATAAAGGAGTTGTTTATTTATGTCGCGAGATGGCGACTGTAGTTCCGTAGACTTGCAAAAATTAAAGTTGAACAGGCTCAGTATCACCTGATGCGGCGTATTTACCTTTTTTGTTAGTTCCATGAATTTGTGGTGTTGTGATGTTGATAGTGCATTGTGTGTTCGTAAGTCAATATTTTGACTTGCGTTATATTTGATTTCATTATTTCTAGCTGTAAACTGTTTTAATTTTAATAGTTATCACAGAATTTATTTAAAAATTCGTCTCATTAATACAAATTCAAAATTTCAAAACAAAAACATATGAAAATGGGGAATAGATAATGAATTATTTAAATTTGCTTTGGTTCGGATTTGGGCGTTAACTTGTAATACTTTATAGCGTTGCATGTTGCAATAAAGGCAATGAATGCGGTTATCCTAGTTGCACTACTTTATATTTGTTTAAATTTATAACAAGTGGCACATGTTAGAAGGTTTCTTAGTATGCACAATGTTTATGCAGATTGCGTTCGTATCGTTTAGTTGTTTGTATCGATAGTGAATCTGCGTGCCGTGCACGAGGAATCACGCATTGGGTACATCATACTTAAATATAACTCTTTAGCAAACCCAGCGATGTCGCTAGCATGCGAAAAATAGAAATTAATATTTCGATTACGATTATCTCGCAAACTAAAGGCGATAGAGAGGAACGGTTTGAAGATTCTTTATCTACGGGAAATCTTATTCAGGGCACCGTACGAAGGTTACTTCATAATTGACTCGCAATCAAGGCATTGAACGAGTATGAGGGGAGCGGTACAAGTGACTTTTATTCAGAGCATAAAAGGGTGAAGGAGTTGATTCTCAAGAAAAAAGTTTTTGGTAACAAATATCTTGCAAGCTAAAAGCGATATCGACTAAAAATTGAAGAATATGAAACTTCAGAAAATACTTTATAAGATAAGATAAAAAAAATCATTTTCATTGGCTATCTTATATTTACGATTTAACTGTAGATTGAAACAACATTACGAATTTATATAAATGTAGGTACATAAAAGTCAAGTTTGTTATTTTCTATGATCTTCTAAGTTTCACCAACAAAAAAATTAATTTATACTTTGAATGACATTTTCCACACACTCAATTTCCATAAATGTTAATATCACAATTATAAAAACAATTAATTTACAAAAAAAGATATTACTATCGATAACAAATGATTTATAGCCATGTTTGTCATCTTGTAAGCCTCTTGTTAATATTCTCATCTATTCTATTCTAAACACAGCCGACACATGTTTTCAAAATGTCGTCGTCCGAACGAAATGCTAATGACGCTGGAATTTATAAATTTATAACTATATCAGATTGAGAAGCGATTGAATTGTAATCACATGTTATAGGAGAGCTGGTAGAATGTGAATAAATCTATATTTATATGTGGTTAAAGAACTGCGACGCTTTTTTGTATCGCGCTGTGGCAATTACGGAATATAAATCGTTTGGTAATGGAATAACAACGCTCGAATCATTCACAATCAATTACGCAGCGTTCTGACACGCCCGATGATCATCGAAACCATCGAGCCCGTCATTAACCGCATAGCAATTTATAGCCTCATAATTTATTTAAAAAATAGCTACCATATTCATACTGATTTCAGTCGTGATTAAATCTCATGCCGAGTAGAATAATGTTTGCATTGGAATTGTTTTATAATCAATCTATAAATAGCAATTTAGATTGTTTTACGTCACATTTGATTTTACGTTTAAAATGTGATTGTAGCATTGACATTTACATAATTTTGTTGTTGTTTTACTAGAGTAATTTTTTCTCGAAGGTCGTGGTTTTTTTTAATTTTTGAAGAGCAATGTACGTTCTTGACCATTGGAGTAGTGCCCAATGGCGGTGGCAGTCGGTGGCAGTTTTCATTCGAGCGGAAAATCGTTCTGTTTAAAATTACGCGCACGTAGCCGTCGGATGTGGATGTAATAACACCGTCGATTTATTGGCGAATCACACACGGCGGACATAACGCACGCCGCCGCCGCCGCCGCCTCAGCTTCTCGAAGCCGGAACAAATCTGTTTGCCGGGTTCAATTCTGGTGACTTGGGATTAGTCGCGCGAGTTTCGGACATGTTGGTTTTGCAACATTCGAACAAAACATATTCAGTTTGAATTTATTTACGATTTATTTGATGCGATTGTTTCGGATATTTATTTCTATCTGTGTGTGTGTGTTTAGGAATTTACGCGGTAAATCCGACGCGCTTGCACATACATAAATCATTAACTTTTTTGCGTGACAAAATGTCATCGTAAATACTGCGCGCTTGCCTTGCTTTGTGCGTTTCTTCTTCTTTCTGAAACGGCGCTTCATGCGTCCATCTGGTGCTTGAGCCTGCCGGCTCAAGTCCAAACGTCCGGAATGACCGCCGGCTTATTTATGTACGCGTTTTTATCATATTTAGAAAAGGGCGTAAGTTGATACAATTCGTGTCACTGCGAAATTAATTTATTATTTACGGAAATAAGTACTGGAACTCCTTTAATGTTGTGGAGTTATTTTTGTGTAGGTATAGTTAAATATCAATTTTGTTTTGCTCGGGATTAAATTGTCACATTTTAAAGTTCAATAGCGGCCGAAGACTCCTCCGAAAAAAACATGCTGGTTAGAAAACCAGCCCACAAGCCCATAACTAGCGCGAGCATACTAATAATTATGCGCTGTGTGAATGGTGTGAATGAAACAATTATGTGACGCGTGTGTATATGTCACGCATACCAATCGTGCCTCCAGTTCAAACACTGAAAACGACCTGAGTTTAAATCAAAGAAAGAGGGGTTTGCAACAAAAAAAGACTTCAGACTTGTTCTTCCCGGTAGTATATAAGGCCGAGTGCCGAAATTAATAGCGTCACAAATTTTCAGACCTCTTTTGAATTGAATAGATTTCTAATAATCATGAAGGTAGTGTGTGATTTTAAATTTTAATTGATTTAAGTTAAGTGTAATTGTTTTTTGTGTGTTCAGAGCGTTGTAGTTCTTATTTCTGCGTTGCTTTCGGTCGGATCAGTACCAGTTCCTCAACATTTTGTTCCTGGAACAAGGAGTACCTATCATGGAATATTGGGAACATTTGATGTTTCGCCAGTGCCTCAAATAGCTCACGTTTACTCTCCGTTTGCGCAAACAATTGGATATTCTGGTTACTCTGGCTATCCATATCAGTTTCATGTAGCTTCACCAGTTGTCAATTATTATACACCAAGTGTTTCCTTCGTGGGCGGTCATCAGTTTGCTGGCGTACCATTTTTAGACGCTGTAAATGTTCCTGCACCAATTGCTCCCGTTACACCAGTTGAAAGTGTTCCCAATGTGCCAGATTCCATTGCAACTGAAAGTCATCCACCCACACAAGTTCCAACTGATATCCCAACTGAAAACCCACAAGATACCATTGAAAATATTCAAAATGACAGTGTGAATTTGTCGGATGATGATGACACAGTTACCATTGAATCCGCATAAGTCTACTTCCTATGAATCTCGAAATATTCTGTAACTACTGATTGAGTAATGTGTGTGTAATTAATGATACTGATAAGATTGATACAATGTGTGGTTCATTTCTTCTTCCTCTTTGTCTGTCCCATTTTACGCGTGTTTACTTGAATAGAATTCAGATTAAACTGCATTCAATAGAGCGTTTTGTGTGAAAGGTTAAAATGTCACACGGAGTACACACATCACTTGGAAATGTTTTTCACTGGTCATTCGTTCACTTGCGGTTGGTGACTTAAGTCAAAACAATGAAAAAGTTACAAATTTTAGTTGTTTGGTGTGTTTGGGCACTTATTTTGTGTTTGGAAGTTACCCCTGCCAAAGACAGCTTTTTTAGGACTTTGGTAACGTCTCAAGATAACGAAACTGGTGAAATTAAATTCTCGAATGGGTCGGATACTTTATTAAAACCATATCGGGATACTTTTAGTAAGATAAATCGCTAAATGTATTAATTTTACAAAAAGAAATTATTTTATTATTTATGTAGTTAATGTGCAAGTTATTGAAAAACCTCACAATCTCTTTATCGGACGGTGTATGGAAAACGAAAATGAGTTACACGCACAGAAAATTGTCGTAAATAACGATGGGAACTCACATTTATCAGCGGTTATGAGAGTAAGTCACTGATTTTTCTATTTTTTATTACAAAACTATTATTCAATTATTTTTTTACTTAAAGTTCAACGTAGCAACCGATAAAAATGTTGTAATATCCTGTGTGAATGTCTATGACGAGGCTCCTGGTATCGGGGCGTATCCATCATACGCCGGAGGTGGTGTTGGATATAACTACGTAGAAATCGGCGTGATTACAAAATATGGTAAAGGATTTGCGTTCTTTGTGCAGATTTTCGGCAAAGATTTGCAGCAATTATCGCCGTAACAAAAGCAAAATTATTATGATTTATTATTAATCAGTTTTTATTGTTCACTAATAACTTAGATAATTGTATGTTGCAGATAAAATAAATAAAAATAACAATAGACATATAAATCATTGCAATTGATTCATTTTTTGTTTCGTTTCCTTGCGCAATGTGAATGGTAGCGGTGGGATAACATCCGGAATTTCTGGGTTTTTCTTAAAATTGACATGTGGGGGCGCTGCGGATGCTGTTGGTACTTGTGGTGGCAGCACTGGTACAACCGGTCGTTGATTTTCTTGTACAATTTCCGGTTTTTCTTGTTTTTGAGGTGCGTTGGCGTAATTTGTTTGATGTGCGTAATCAATATAAACGGGTTGTTGATAATATGGCAATGGCGGTGAATAGACATAATTTTGATGGTAACCATATTGTAAATATGGATCATAGGATACTGGATATAACGAATATGCATCATGATATGCTAATTGTGGTTGTCCAGATGGTATTTTTTGTACATTTGCTGGACCAGGATTAGAATTAACCTAAAAATTAAAAAAATGAAAATTTTAATTTTATTTTACAGTTTAAATAAACTTACATTTGATTGTTGTTGATTTTGTTGATTATGTTGCGTTTGATGTACTACAAGTGGTTGAAACAGTGGTGGTGCAACACCCAGAGCTGTTGTTTGTAAAACAGGCTCTATTATCGGAAAAGCTTGGCTAGGCGATAGATTTTCATCGGATGTGATTAGTGCGTTGTATATTTTGGCGCTCTTGCCGCCCCTACACCACACCACACTATCATCATCATCCATAACATTTTTGAAGTTTTAACATGTCTAGAAACAAATTATTACAGAAGTTAAACTTTTGCTAAACATTTGTTGTCTTATTCCAAGGTTATTATTGAATTCAAGGTGTTTTCTTGCTCAATACGTATAAATTTTTTAAATCTATTGTTACAAGTTTATTATTCCAATCGTTTAGTCCACGTGTTACCATTATAAATGACTGACTACGATTTATAAATCACTTTTGGTGTTTAACTCGCAAGTTGAGAAATAAATTTGAATAGATATTTTTCAAATCGGATCGTTTTTCATTTTTATATTTTCTGTTTCAGATGCGGAAGAGTTGGGAGAGTCAAAGGCGTGTAATATCTGGTTTTAGCAGTGTAAGTGTAACAAATGTTTCCACAAAGGTAAAAGAATTTAAATTTATTCAAATTCGAACTTTTTGCGCACGCGGTGTGCGATGTTATAATTTGCACGCTTTAAAACTTGCTCGAACTGAACTATGCTCGAACAACTTTACGTTGGAATTGGAATTTATCATCACAAACTTTTTACATTTCAACACACTGCCACACTCACACTCACTCGCTCATGCACACACCAGCGGTCTATTTGACTAATAACAACAAATGATTTAATTTGTGTTCGTAGCGTTTAATTTGTGTAATTCGGTAATTAGCGTGTTGATGAATGTGATTACCGTGATTGGTGTTAGATTCATGCCACTACTACAAGCAAAATGCCCGCCAGAGAGCCGTCGTCGGCTTTATATGCCGGCGCAATTGCGTGTGCAAAGGTGTTTTGTGTTCACCTACCTGTTGGCGATTTTTGCGCGGCATTCCCTTCACCGAGATGCGATTACGCTGCTGAGGCCGCGTGCGGCGGCGCGCTCGCGCATTTCTTTCTCCTCTTTGCCTGCTCGCTTGTGAAAGATCTATTGCTTCCCAGCGCGATGTAAACATAACTGCATAGTAATAAATGCAGATGCGAGCCGAGGCCAGTGTGTCATTGATTGCGCAGTCTATTGTCCATCAAGTTGTAAACAAAACAAATAGCTTAAGAAAGAAAAACCCCGCAAAACGATGCGGAATGGTCCGGGGGAAAAAAACGAGCGCCCGAATCAATTAAGACATGAACGTGGTGGACACAAGAGAAAAAAAGAAACACGCTTTGCTGCAAACTGCAAAAAGCGTCGTGTTTGAGTGTGGCCTCGTGGAACATACGGACGAGCAGTCGAGCACGTTCAATATTACATGAGGATTACACGACGCCGGCCGGCAGGACGAGCGCCCGACGAACAGGACGAGTCGGACGTTCAAATAGAAAACGTATTTTAAGCGTTTTGCTCGGACACTCGCGCCGGAATATGATAGGACGTATGTCTGCTTTGCCTGCCTGCTTCGCCTGCTTAATTTTTTAATTAAAATTGCGACAGCGTTATCCGCGCGACATGGAGATGATTTATAATACGATGAAAATTTGATTTTTAAGTCGAATTATTTTGCATTTGCATGAATAGAATACTAGTAGACTTAATTTCAATACACATTCTATACACATTGTTACAATTCCGAAGTGGTTAGACAATTGGGTTTGAAGCTCTCGACAACAAGAGCACATGTGTAGTCGACAATCGACATTGTGACACAAAGGTCCACAAGCTCATGCTAATGATTAACGGTGATTTAGAGATGTATCAATTGATATGCAATTGACATACACTTGGATAAAAACAAGTCGCTCTTTGGAATGTTCTCGTAGTCAAGGAGTGTAGTTTGTAGAGATCTGTAGATCATTTGAGATGAAGAAGAGATTCGCGCGAGGATTTACAATTCAATTCGAATCGCGATTAGCGCGAGTTTGCGCGAGATGCAAATCGAGCAGCAGCAGCAGGTTCCACTAACGGTGCAACGGTTTCTTCGCTGCCGCCCACGTTGGCGGAATTAAAGTTACACGTAAATGTAATCCGCAAAGACCTGCAGCTGCGAGAGTGTTGAATTACCCAATGACTTTCCAAAAATAATACCGAAAAAGACAAACGATCTTTAATAAAATAGAAAAATTCGTCATTTCTTGCATGTGATTAGTTAATTATGTCAAGATAACTGGAAGTGTAGGTCTGTGGGATTCGCATGACTCGTATTTACATATTTTCTAAATAAAACGAGTGGGCATGGGTAGGTCGGTGCCGCGTTAATCAATTTGCTCGCTATCGCTGGTCATGTGCATGCGAATTGGCGCATGCATTTATTATGGAAATGTATCAAGCATAGAAATAGAAGAATTGTCGAGATATCTCTAGTCGCTTAGCGTCAAAACTAACTGTTTTGTTTATTATTATTAATCTCGATAACTAGCTTTTGCTGCGACTTTGTCTCGGTAGTGTTTAATAAAAATGTGATTCGTTTTTACTCTCTTGTTCTAGACATAGTATGTGTCAATTCAATCAATAAGATTGGTAATTTTATTTAAAAAAAAAATTAATTATATAAAGAATTGCTGATAATGCACTTCAGCGCGCCATCTCGGATTGAACTATTTAACTATAACTACGATTGAATCTCAATGCCTATTTTTATCTTATAGTAAAAGGCTGTTTTAAAGGTTTTCCCGGAAATTATTCGAATTTTTCTCGCTGTAAAAACCATCCTTGGAATTTAACGAACATTTTAAAAAAAGAATTGGCCAAATTGGTCAAGGCGTTGTTGAATGATGCGCTTACCAACAGATTTTACCATTCATTTTAATATTATAGATTTTCAATTGTTGGCGATGTGTACATCTTCACATACTATAATTAATTTAATTTAGTAATGCTTAAAACTTGCCGAGTGCATTGGACACAACTCAAAAGCAGCTGTGAATAAATTACGACTGCATGGCTCTCCTGCGTTCATTACACATTTGTTGATATTAAATAAATAATGCTGTGAGCCAATCGCCGGCCATGCCAATCGAAACTGTGGCAAATGCGTTCCGCTGTTTTACATTTTGATTGTGTTTAATAATGGGCGCGATCGACGCTTATGAATGCTTTAATGGCCAATTATTCACGTGTTGTTTGCCCTTCGCAGCGCATCACAATTTTGCGCACCGCCGCACGCGTTGCGTTTGCGAAATATGTGTGCAATCCGGTTAGGAATTAACAAACAACAATAAAAAATGTTGTATCGATACGCGAGTAGTATACGCGCGCAGTGTTTTGATCGAATTATGTTATGTTTTTAAAAGCATTTTGTGTTGTTTTACGCGTTTACGCACGACATGCCGCTGTAATTGCGGGGTAATAGATTTTGGTGAAAGAACGGGGTGCACGGCGCGCAAAAGAAGCGCAATTAGTCGACAGCCTGTTGTCTCTTCGTCAACGTCAGTGATAATCGCTCTGGCGGTGCGTTCCGTTACGCTCGACTGCAATGAATGCTACAAATCGATTGCAATTTGCCCTCAGGACGAGCGCCAGCGCCAACCAGCCAAGCGGGTTGAATTATATTTTGTAATGTTGAGCGCTTTTTTTCCTACTTGACTGTTTAATGAAAACGTAAAAAAAATTAAACTGCAAACGAAGAAGAAAACATTCAGCTGCACATTATACAACTAGGGAATAATAATTTGCATTTAACTCGCGTGTGTGCTTTTTTTCTTCTCTTCTCTGGTCTATGGAAGCTATCAAACGCGACAAATTACACCCTCGATCTTGAATGCGTTGAATGTGAAAGCTCTCGGGATCGCGCAATCATTATATCAGCACGATATCGGCGGCGGCGGTGGGCCTGCCATCCGAAACGTGTTTTTGTTTAAGCAAACCAATTACCGCTCGAAAGCTCCGACCGGCCGTTCACACTATAGGGGGAATGAAAGCCTCCGAAGTGACGTGTGCAGTCGCGGTTATTAAATCGAAGAGCGGATATCTTCGAATTGATTGACTCTCCTCTCCTCGTTCACGGAATGGACGGAATTGACGAATCAACGAGTTAAAGTGAAATTGTCGGTTCGACGACTAATGGTCTGACACTCGACGCACCTCGGCGTCAACTATCCGTGCGCCCCGCATGTGTGTGTAAGTGTTTACTTGCACGCCAAACCGCAATTACTGGAGCGCTCCGAAATCGAATCACCATAATGGTCGACAGTTTGCCACCGCGCGCGCGTGGGTGGTAGTGGCGAGGTCATGGAGTCCTTAAAGGCGACTGGAGTGCGCATCGCAAATCAAGCCGGGGTGATTATTTCAATTTCGTTGGTTTGCGCTCGCGGAGATTATTTTCCCCTCTTCAGCAGTTGATTGGCTACAATCTAGACTATGGAATAGAATAAGCATAGTTATTTCCTGCTTTG